GAATAATAATTGTAGACAGCTGGCTCCTAGACTGGTCTACAGATGGAGTTTGTAAGTCCAATATTCCTTTTAAGATTTTTTTTCACTTGACTGAATTATTTATCTAAAGATAACTAATGGCATTTATTAGTGCACAAGTCCCTCCAGTTTTAGCTGCCAGAAGATGGTGCAAGCAGTGCTTTTGAAAGACAATTTAATCTATGAAAATTAAGGACTCCTGCTGAGATTTTATAGCTTCCACTGCAACTTTCTAGACTCATTAAATCACAATAGTGGTGAGTACAGGTGTACCTGGAAACTGTTAGCAAGAGTCAGTAACTGGAGCCCCATTTTTATAGCTAGCTTTATTACTATGGTGTCGTTTGCTATACACATTTTGGTTATGCACTTTCACTGAGTGTTTAAGATTATATTAGATTGAGACATATGTTAATGAAAATTAGCCTCCTGCTATCTTATAGGCCAGTTAAGACTGTCCAAGAGTTGCTTTTGGATCCATGTACAGAGCCTCTCAATTCCCATACCAGTGTCAGCCATAAGGATGTTCCTGATCTTACTTGATCATGTGAATCCTCACGGAAGCATTGGGAAGGTTTCGTTCTCTGCTGACCCCTGTTTCTGGCACAATGTATCCTGGGTAATTCCTGTCCTCTGGGCTTCTCTAATCTCCCTGATCAGGAAGTTGGGTGACTTACTAAAGTTGTAGGTTTCTGTAGAAAGGGTATTTTCATATTCATGGTCCGTGTTGACCTCAGAGACCAGGGCCAAAATATTGGCTATTCTTTCAGTCCAGTCATCTTTTCTTATGTTTTATCTCCATACCCCCCAGCTTTTGAACATCTAGGAGTTAAGCTACACCAGCATCACAGTAGGCATAGTAGGTTTAAATATCTTATCTAGATAGCAAAACACATGAAAAGATAAACTATGACAAGAGAAATGTTATTATTATTTATACTCATCATGGTCATTATAGAGGTCAATTTTTTTCTTTTTATTAATTTTATTGAGAAACAAATAGCAATGGGACAGTTTCAAAACAGGTTAGTAGGACAGTTTCAATAATTAATACATTGCATATTGTTGTGTGATTTTTGTGGAATGCTAGCAGGTAAATTTCTACTGAGAAGATTTTACATCAAGAGTGATATAGCATTCTAACATGACAGTCATGATAAGGCATGTCTAGAACACATTTTCATCTCCATTTTAACATCAAATAACTTTTTAGTCAGTTAACTTTACCTAATTCCAATATATGAAATGGCATAAAGAGAACTGCATTTAATGTATCATCTTTTAACCATTCTGTTACCCCAGTGACATTTAAGTGGCATATACTTGTTTTATAGACATGCTTTACTGATCATTAATGCCTAATCTCTGACCATTACACTAGCATTGTCTAGATTTCATGGTTTCTGTGCCAATTGTTGTAACACAATTACATAACACAAGCCCAAGTCTGAAAAATTATCCACATCTACTGACTGTTTTTTTCATATTAGATGGGCTAGAACATTTCATCACAGGTCATTGGAAAATAAGAAAGGGAGGGCCAGATACTTAAGCCTTAAAATATTTACCACCATAAATAACTTTAGCCTGAAAGTCACTAGTGGGATAAGACGTTTGTTCAGTTTTGCATCTTTGAAGACCCGCACACTTGGGAGACAAAAATACTTTTATGTACCATGAGGGTAACAAAACATTAATGCTACAACT